ATTCAACGACTTAATTGTACCGTGTATAAATATTTAAAATCTGAAATGGATGATAGGTATGTGTGTGTTACCAGGATGATTTTGTTACGTCATTAACTATTCCTATTAGAATGGCAAATGCCACATGAGAAAATGTCAAGAGACGTGGCCACACAGCACGGCAGAGCCTTTGCCATTCCAACTAAGCGAGTTCAATTTAACAACCCAGTGCTGGGCCGATTTATTGTCCCACCGAGTGGTTTCAGGCAACAGATAATAGCAGCGTGCACGCTGTAAAAGGGGGCCAGGGTTTAATTCGGAACAGATTAGCACAGAACGCGACGCTCAGGGAGTTTATTCAAGAGGACCAGCAGCAGATCACGCAGAACGAGTCCGTCTGGGTGTTTTTTTTGTTTGTTAAGACGGCCTGCAGGTGCTGCCCTCCGTGCATTCAATCAATGGATTCATAGTTTTAGATGCAGCCCACATTAGGCACACTGGCCGTGTACGATGTTGGGCAGTCAATGATAAAGCGGGTTGCATCGTCAGTATTGTGGAGACGAAACGACGTGTCCCATTGACTTGTTTTGTGGTAGAGGGGCTGTGGTGATTCACGTTTGCTACACTGGAAGCCAGAAATATATATGTTTGTAAGTACAATGCGCATGGCAATGAAAGAAAACAAATGTGTATCTGTGCGAAAGCACACCAAGTCATTGTTTATTATCAGGCAATACCCGAAAAGAGCTGCTTCAAACCTCCGGTCTTATTCCAAGCTCAACGAGTAATTTCCTACCTTTCTTCAGCATTTTATCCTCGATTAACCGCTAAATATTGTTATTTGATCTTTCCTCCAGAAAATGGAAACTGCACTCTCGTGATGTGGGCTGTACACCTTATATGAGGGTCGTTAAGATTATTAGGAAAAGTTGCGTGAGCGAATTACAATTCACAATTTATTTACATGCATTTAATACCACAGTCATCATCCATTTTGATGGTATCTGGTTGAATAATTATGATGGGATTGCAAACTGAATCCCAAATTTGATTGGTGGATAATTTTGTTCCCAACATTTATATTTCTCCATCCTGCATGCGACGATCTTCTCCATATATATGAATGATAATACTAAATGAATGTATTACACAAAGATCACTCTGCCCAGCTCGGTGTCTCTGTGGTAGTGAGTAGCTCGCAATCAGGTCATGAGCTCAAATCCTGCTTGATGGTTGACTCGGCCACACATTCATCCGGGACCAATAAAATAGGTACCCACTTTGTACAGAAGTCAACAGTGCTTGTCCTATTGATATACTAGTCCCAGCCATAGGCATTTGGAATTTCTTCCACTGGTTCAGGAGATTAGCATTGCCTCAAATGCTCATTTGAGCAGAAATGAACTTTGGCTTTTTTGACATGATGCAGACATTGCGATGTGGGTGACAAGAGCGAGTGGCAGGGAGCCAAACGTAGCTCTATCAGCAGCAGACAAGCAGACGAACTGGCAGAGGCGCACATTGAACAACGATCGCCGTATCTCCCTCTGTGCTTCTGATCACATGCACAATCTGTTTAGCGAATGCACACAGCGCACCTGAGAGCATCTCAACAATTCGCGGTCGCTCAGTGGAAGTAGCTTCAGTTGGTGCCGGCGTGATAGCGTGCCTACATCTTGCCCAACAAGGCAAAGCTATTATTATTATTGTTATTTATTATGCTTATTTACACAGGAAAGCCTCACTGAAGTCTCAGCGCTCCTCTTTTCCGGAGAGTCCATGCTTAGTTTTCACAGACTGTTACGTATACTACGATTGGGTAATTGCTACTTTGCATGGTAACGCCGTTGATGGTCGTACCATAATGGACATGAACAATAATACGGAGCAATATCTGAAAACTGTGCAAAGGAGGCATGGAGAAATAAATGTTTTTAATTACTTTGCAGATTTACAGGCGGGAGACATGGATTAGAGAAAATAGGCAGGTTAATGGCATAATTAAAACCATATTCTTGGTTCTTTTGGTAAAGTCACGTTGAAGGGAAACAATAAAATAATAATATATATAAAACAATAAAATTCTCACGACGTTTCTACTGCAACACAAGCAGTCATCATCAGGTGTGAAAACCAACGGCAAGAACATTTGAAAGAAGTGGCGGTTTGTATTTATTTATTTTTAAGCGTTAGCGCCACGGATAGCGATTTGACAGTTTGTTTAGATGGACGAGTCCATCTATGTTCGGAAAAGAGGAGGGGGGAGACGAAAAATTAATGTATGCTGTCTGAAAGCCACCGTAAGCGTGAACAATCAATTAAGACCCGAAATGGTTTATCAAATCCTTCCAATGATTGCTAAGCCAGAATCCATCTTCTCAGGTTGAAATTGTCTCTGTGTTTGTATATGTGGATAGCCTCATGAACGAATCTCTCATGGTAGCCAGATGGCTTACAAATCAAAATATAATTAAAACCGTTAAGAAAAATGGGCTTGGGTAGAACACATCGTTAGAAGGGATGATGGTCAAGAATAATAACAGCATGGCAGCCAAGGAATGGAATGCATCCACCAGGGTGATGGAGGAATGAAATCAGCTCGTGTGATGGCAGGAGCTTTGGGGTAAGGCCTTTAATCAGCGGTGGATTGACCTCTCTAATTCATGCCACATGAGTAACAAGACAATTAGAATAACAGCTTTTGTCATTGGATTGAGCCAGCACCAATGAGATTCTGGGTTTGCATCCCGGCAACTGCCCGTAATTAAGCTGAGTTCTCAAATGTAGCAAGCTGATCATTCTCAACCTGTTCACATTAGAACTGAATAAAAAAAAATGTAATTGCAATTTTGCTTTGCACTTAATGTAGTTACATTTCAGCTCGAAGAATTGCAAATCTTGTTTTGACTTCAATGAGATGGACAGTCGTAGTCTGTAGTAGTGTATGTGGAAAAGTGTGCCCCCTAGTGTGCACATAAAAAGGTTACCTGAAGGGATATAGAAAGGAGTTCTGTCATATCTCCTTGTGGAGGCTGCTCTCTAATTCCCTGTTGTATTCTTACCTTAGAGTTCCAAATGGATACTTTGTCTCACTAGATAATGCAAGTATAAATAATGCAAGAATAAAATCAAGAAATAAAGAAAAAGCGTGCAAACAAATATTACTTGCTTTTATTTTACCAATGACTCATTAATCACAGCAAACAAAGCAACAAAATCAATTCATACCACGGAAGGAGTTTTCATTACGTTAACCACAACGCGAACCGTCATCACAAATTGCTCATTAGTTAAATTACAATATATTCATGTCGGTAGCATCTTTCTATTTTAACAGCATTGGAAAATCTAAATTGTGTTTCCAAACCAATGTTCTGGTAGGAGACCACCAGACCTCACGGTTACCTCACCAATCTAGGGCTTCGAGGACCCATATAGGCGACATGGAGAAATGAACAGTTACATTAATGTTCAGGTTTAAGCAGTTTTTTTTATGTAAAGTCACGTAGAAGGGAAACAATAAAATAATATACATGTTTAATATTTTTATTATTTTACAGTTTTCTTTTGTGTTAAGGACCGTGAACATTTGTTAGTTTACATTCTGTAGCTCGCAATAAATTAACGGGGATTACTTTTAACCCAAAAGAGAATCAGTTGCCACCAGGTTTCATATCTCTCCTCGTGCACGCTGTTAATTTATTTTTAAAAAATTATACCGCAATATTTTTTTTTAAAAAACTGTGTTTGCACTATTCGATCAATAAAAGCAGGAGCACGCTCCAAGGCACCATGGGGCGTTCATGCTGGAGTGTTTGCTATGGCTATACGGGCAAATAGTGTCGAACACTGAATAATCTGATAACATGTGGAAATCACAGTGGCTGTTAATGAAAGAAATATAAATTATACAAATATTACACATCTCCAAGGACACAGGCCTCCTCTTTCATTGTTCCGCGTGAAAATTGCTCACTGGCGAGTGTGTGTGTGTGTGTGCTGAATGCATTTACACACACACATAAAATCCATGTCGTTATCAGGAGGACGAAATTACTTACTCATCCAGCTAAAAGTACGTCGAAAGAAAAGAAGTGCACTTTAAATGAGGTTGCCAAAGTGAGGATTTGTGTTGTGAAATTGCTCTGACAGCCTTTCAGACGCACCTCTTTGTGAGCCGTAATGTGTTCAGGCAGAGAGCCATGAATGGGAGCCGTTCCTAGAGCGCCAGCGTACTGCTTGGCACGGTCACTGTGGAGTGACTGTAAAGCCCCCCTTGTCTGGGCCAGCAACAGCTGAATAACACTGGATAAAGGGGCTAGCACCAACATTGTGTCTACCGAACATAGGGGGGGCGAGGGGGGGGCTAAAGCAAGTTCCTGGGCCAATCATCAACTCAATTGTGCTCGTCGATAGACTGCAGCGTTGTTGGCTTTGAGTTTCGCACCGAGCCACGCCGTCGTTTGATTCGAGAGCCCCGCTCCCTCAGTACATTGTGCGATGAATCATAGAACCCGATGGGGGGGGGGGGCGGGAAACAATAATTGTTTTTTGACATCCAGTTTGTTCCCGTGTTGATTGTTTTCGTTTTCCTCCTTGACCCACCAGCCCCTTCCTCGCGGCCACCCCTGCCCACCTCCTGCTCCCTCTAATCGTCGAGCGGGCGTCCCTCCGACTACTGGCTGTAACGACGTGACCATCGATTCCCCCTCTGCACGCGACCCAGCGCTCGGGCCACCCCCCCCCCCCGCCCCCTCATCTTTTTGTGCCGGAGGGCCCCCCGAGAAGGGAAGAACCGGGGTGGAGATCAAGGACGCCGGAGCACCAAATGAGCCAGTGAGGAGACGAAGCGGGGAGGTCCCGGCGGAGCGCTGGACAGGTCAAGGCGAGGCGACGAGGGCAGGAGGGATTGGGGGAGCGACCCGCGCAACGCCGCGACGGTTCACCTCCCTGCCATGGCGTCCAATTTCAACGACATCATCAAGCAGGGCTACGTGAGAATGCGGAGCCGCAAGGTCGGGGTAAGCAGCTCGGCGAAGCACTCGCGGCCACCGGCGTCCATGAATGTTTAATGAAGACGCGTCTAGCGACACGATGCGCATGTGAGCAGATGCGTGCGCATTGGGTACGATTGAATAAATAATTGATTGGCACCACCCGAAATTCAACTGCGGCTGCCGAACAATCTTTTGAATCTTGTTAACACTGTTTTTGAGTCACACAGCAGGCAACGTTTTAGAAGTACGTTGCATTGCAGCTCAGCCAGCCAGTTATGCGTCGCCCATACGTTTCAACCCACATGTTAATTTCAATAAGATGTGGGCCACTGCATAAGCTAAGTCAAGATTATTTATCCTTAAGTAAACTCCAATTACTCTTCCTTCAATACTATCACCATTTGGCCAGCATCCAGGAATTACAGAAGGAAATGAATCTCCTTACGCTCAATCAATGCTACATTAATGGGAGTAGAGGGTTTTTTAGCCCAATATACTATACTTATACTTCTTCTTCTTCTACCATTCAGAATGAAAACCAATTAAGTATATTCGAAGACCCAAGAAATACCTGCAATTAACACATAAATATTGGAATGAGAGTCACTGAAATTTCCTACTTACTGTAGCAGCACACCAGGTCTAGGCAATAACATTGAGCGACTTACATTTTTCATTTCCAGCAATCTTGGTTTCATAATAAGTTTGCCAACAGCATCCATGACAACCTGGGAAGAAATGCGTGCGGTTGACGCACGAAACGAAAAGCTCTCAAAATAATACACGAACAAGATGCGAGCCAGTTGGCAGGAACTGAATTCCCCTGACACCATTAAACTCAACGGACTCGAATCACGTGGTAGAGCAATACCCGCCAAGACAAGACTCAATTCGCGTCGTCCACCATTCCTTCACAGTGAGCGTAACGAGAGGATGGCACACTTACCGAGGCGCTTCCTAGATACCCTTATGGGTTTATCCCCCCCCGCCTCCGCTATTCCCCAGGAAAACAAAACATACTTTACTTCCAATGCTCTATTGAAAAGTGTTTTCTATAAATTTCCTCATCCCTTATTGCAAAAACCCAAGCGCTATGAAACGAACATAAAGCACATCATCGATGTTTCTTCTCAAGCTATATATATTTGTTATCTCAGAGTGCGACTTTGTGATTTTAACATGCATAATTCATACCACTATGCTCACCACCCAATTGAATTTCCACAAGGCAGCTAATAAGTGACCGAGGGCCAGTGAGTGAGCAGGCAACAGGCGAGTCGTGAATTCATGCAGCGTATAACATCATTTCACTTCTCACCTTACGGGTAGCCTCCACAGTAGCCTGGGGTTGTGCACGACAAGACCTGCCATGGTCGACACTCGACACGAACGATCCTCAGCAGCCTGCATTCATTGCCTTGCCACACATTACCAACAAAACAACTCTGCTTTATGATATGACTAGCTGTACTACCCGGCTTTGCCCGGGACTTGGATCCCCAACGCCCGGCCGCCTTTGTCTCCCCAGTGGCGATGTTCACACACCACAGCAGTTACTCGTTTGAGGCTGAGTCGACCTAGGGGAGGCCCAGGAGCGGTTGAAATAATCGTCACCGGTGGTGGCCGTGAGCGGGAATCGAACTCGGGTCGCCGGGTTCGTAGTGCGGAGCGCTAACTGCTACACTACAATGCGTTACGCTTCCACGTGCGCGGGTCACGTGACAGATTTGACGTCACAGCTCACTTACCGTGCAAAAAAATATGCATTATTGAGCTCCCCCCCCCCCAAAAAAGGGGCAAATTTTAAGTTTGTTGCATGTCGGGAAGTACGCTAAACATTTTGGACAGACACGCATATTCACAACTATGCCTTTTATATATATGGAGATTTTTTTTTAAGGTTAAGGTGCAGCCCTGCAAATTGCTTGCTCACGCCACTGCTAGCAGAAGGGCCTCCACTAGAGCTACCTCTAGAGGGTCGTTTGGTCTACTCTTCCATGCTGCCCATTTTGGAAGAGGTGGGACCACCCACACTCTACCCCACCAGACGCAATCTGCGCGTCGACTGCGGTGCACTCGCACTGCATGGGTGGACAGGGGCATTTGAGAAAAGTATCCGTTGTTTAAACTGGCTTTCTGGTCGATCCAACCGGCGACCTCTGGATTGTAAGTCCAATGTGCCAACCATAACATCGAGGCTGCACCCCCTCTAAGAGTACAGCATTTGAAATATGACCACAGCAATGCAGAGGAAATCTCTCTCACACACACCACACGCACCACACACACACACGTGTGCGAAAAAGGCGAGGCACGGTTCTGAAACTTTAATTCTTTCTGCGCGAGTGCACAGCACAGGCAAAAATCTTGAGCCTGCTGTGTTGCGAGTAATTTAACGAATGGATAAGTTGAAATGGGCACTTCACCCTGGGCATGTCCATGTTCACTGCTTCATGCTTGCGACCGTGTGTGATCACAACAGGGACATTAAATCTGGTGGGGTTTTATTGTCATTCATTTTCCAAAACATGGCCCACTCGAGGGTCAAAGTTGATCAGTTTTGTAAAAAAAAAGCCATGCCATTATGGTAGCAATCTATATTGTATGTTTTCTTACCTTGCACGTCTTTCCAGAATGTCTGAAAATAGAAGGGGAAAAAAAGCAGACCTTTTTCTTTATTTAGTTTGTTTCCGTAACTTTCACAATCTAATTATGCCCAAGCAACACTTGGCTTTTACGTTTGATGCCGAGATGTTATGATGGCTTTTTCATTAAGATATATTTTATAAATAAACACAATTTATGATGGGCTGTCACACCATAATTGCAAGGAGGCCTCAAAATAAAAGTACTGGCTGTCGGGAAAATACAATTGGTGTTTCATGTAAATGTGCAATCCACGCTTCAGTGGTGAATGCCGAGACAAAGGAATCCGTTCAGGAGAACAGCCTAAGAACCGGAGAGCCCTGGAGCTCCAGTGATAAAGTGAAGCTGCACGCTCCTTCTCTTGCCCTTCGTATTCTTTAGAGAGAGATAGGGGGGGGGGGGGGGACGTTACTTTCACAGTGTCCCCTTAAAAATCGGCCAGGCGGCTCAGCGGTGGAGTGAGTGGCTCGCAGTCTGAAGGTCGCGAGTTAAAATCCTTGTTGCAGGTTGACTAAGCCCATTATCCCTCTGAGGTCGAAAGGATAAGTACTACTATTGTGAGGAGGGTCAACTGTGGTTGTGCTCTGGAAAGACTCATCCCTGCAAATAGGAATGTGGAATCTCCACCACTGGCCCAGGGCTGTAAGCAGGAGACAAGCACTACCTTAAGCTGATTTAAACAAGAAATTACTTTTTTTATAGCCCTTTGTCAATCCACTGCTGGATGAAGACCTCCTTATACCTTGTTGGTCATGAGGCGGTTTTGACCAAACTTCACCACACTCCGGATAGCACGGTTGGCTATGTAGGATGTGAAAGAAATTCAACATACATACACTGCTCAGGGTGGGTTAGTGAAGAGTGGGCTCAGGATAGGTCCAGATTCTACCTCACCACCAACGTTAACCATAGCCAGGAATCAAACTCAGGCACTGAGCTACAGCTTCCACCCCATCAATACATGAAGTGTACAGTATTCAAGAGTCAATGTCAGAAATGTACGCGTGGATTCACATTGATAGGTAAAAAGATGATGTTACGCAAAGGACCCTGTACCTGTCAAGGTGAGGGATAGATGGATCAAGTGACTGGTTCGGTCGTACACCCATTGGAAGGAGCAAGATCAAAACAATAACGCTTAGGCTGCAATATTTATTCACCCAGAAATATGTAGGCTAAGCAACCTCAAGCAATTAAGCAATCAAACGCACTGCACTCGATGAGCAGAGATCATGAACCTGACGGAAGGGATGTAGGCACCGTCTCTACAGGGTAGATTTCGTGCACTACGTTCTAGGTCAACATGTGCAGTCTCTACCTCGCGACGGAACAACTATCAATGAAACACAGCATACAATCAACGACCCAACTCGCACACCACCATCAACACAATAGAGAGCATATCCTCCAGATATGCTCAATCAACCACCTACCCCCATCCCAAAAAAACACTAGCGTCTGGCCGCCGTGGGTCTGGGACGTAGACTTTCCTCTTATTGTCCCGGGTCTGGATGACCTAACAACGTAGTATCGTGCAGGGTCAAAGTGTCACGGGAGTCGGGTTGACGAGGTTCCTGGTTGTCGTCGAGATGACCCTCCGAGGAGGACTCAAGAGGGCAGAGGTCCACCTTGTTGTTCCGCCTCTGTCCTGGCGCTGGGACCGAAGTCTTGGTCACTGGGATGCTGCAAGGCTACGTGCTCGCTGACTAATGACCACGCACCTGCAGTGGAGTGGCTTGACTTGTCCCAGGCACTTGCTCGGGAGTAGCTTGTCAAGGGCCCGGCACCTGCAGTGGAGTGGTTTGACTTGTCCCAGGCACTTGCTAGGGAGTAGCTGGACAAGGGCCCGGCACCTGCAGTGGAGTGGCTTGACTTGTCCCAGGCACTTGCTATGGAGTAGCTTGACAAGGGCCCAGCACCTGCAGTGGAGTGGCTTGACTTGTCCCAGGCACTTGCTAGGGAGTAGCTTGTCAAGGGCCCGGCACCTGCAGTGGAGTGGCTTGACTTGTCCCAGGCACTTGCTATGGAGTAGCTTGACAAGGGCCCAGCACCTGCAGTGGAGTGGCTTGACTTGTCCCAGGCACTTGCTAGGGAGTAGCTTGTCAAGGGCCCGGCACCTGCAGTGGAGTGGTTTGACTTGTCCCAGGCACTTGCTAGGGAGTAGCTTGACAAGGGCCCGGCACCTGCAGTGGAGTGGCTTGACTTGTCCCAGGCACTTGCTATGGAGTAGCTTGACAAGGGCCCAGCACCTGCAGTGGAGTGGCTTGACTTGTCCCAGGCACTTGCTATGGAGTAGCTTGACAAGGGCCCAGCACCTGCAGTGAAGTAGCTTGACTTGTCCCAGGCACTTGCTAGGGAGTAGCTTGACAACGCCCAGT